CAAAATTATTCTTAGGGAAAATTATTAATATTTATGCTTATATGCACATAAAGGGATAGCATGGGCAGCACAGTGGCTAAATGGTTAGCACTTCCGCCTAGCAGTACTAGAGTCGTTGGTTGAAATCACAACCATGGCACCACCTGCCTGGAGTTTGCATGTTCTCCCTATACCTGTGTGGGTTTCCTCCCACACACATTCTGGTAGGTAAATTGGCCCTAGTATGTGTATGTTTGAATGTGAACTAGGGACCTTAGATTGTACACTCCTTAAGGGTTAGGGACTGATATGAATGTACAATATATGGAAATTGACAGTGCTATATGAGTACCTGTAATAAATTAATAATTTACATGCAGCTGGCGTAAATTACTGACCAAAAATGCAAATTTTCCTATTTTTTTCTTACTGAGGAATCTGCGGCACTTATTTATGCACTTGTGTGCAAAGGCACATTATAAATAATGGGCTACATTTAAGCTCACTAAAAAAAACCCCCGCTGTACTGAGCTTTATCAAGCTGCGGTGTGCAAGAGGCCTAAATGAGGTATTGTTGAAATATGAAGGTAAATGGTGAAAATATATAAACAAACCCAAGATTTAATTTGTTTAGAATAGATAATTAATGTTATCAATCATAGAAGCACACACCATATATTTTAATTTTGCTGGACCATAATACACTGTTAATTAGTTATGAAAATTCAGCAGAGCCATTTTGTTGCTAGTTGTCTTATGAAATACTAGCGCAAATGATGTTAAATTACTTTAACGCTAAATTACTTTTTTTCTGTTAGTCTTAGTTCATTTAACTATGCATGCCTATATTGACCAAGAATAAGTAACACCAAAAGAACTGACATGCAGGCTAACAATTTTTTACACATACAGTATATTACTTAATTATAGAAGTATAATCTGCAAGTGATTGCCATGTGCTATAGATTATCATCATGAGCTTTTGCCTAATATCTCTTTGGCTTCCAGGCTCTGGTTGATAAGCAAGCACTGATAATGTTGAAATGCGATAGCACTGAAATATTCTGTGACATGGAAAAACAGATGACATCCAAGGAGGAGATTTTATGCAGTTATGTTTTTTGAGTACACACCATAGAAAATTATCTCCAGCCATTAATATCTGCATAAGTCTCTACATAAGGGCTGAAGACATTTCCAGTATCATGTAGACCCATGGCCAGAATTATATCTACACTTCTTTCTTCAGAAGTAGATAGTTGAGTGACCATATACTGCTGAGGGATTAGCTGGTGGATTTTGATTTTCAGCTGCAACAGCAAGATTGTCCTAGGTGCGAAGGAACTGACCCGTTCCTTTTTTTTTGGCACACAATCTACATTATTCATAACCTATTATAATCTATATTATACTCCGGGGTCAAGGGTGGCCAGTTTATCCTGGACCATGAGCTGTGACTGCTTTCACCCTTTATTTACTAGCTGTGGGTCCACATTACATTGATTACACAACAAATCACCATTTCTTTAGCCTTTATTTTCTGCTATTCTCATATACTGTTACTGCTAAAAAAAAAAATTTAATTTTACCAAATTCATACACATGATTTCTCCTTGAAATAGCTAGTTGAAGATTTTTTATATGATATTGGATGCGAAGTAAAAATGCAATCAGATTAGGTTTTGCCCCAGGAACCTGTGACTTTTAGATTTATTGCTGAATTTCCTTATAGTTTTCATTTATGTAGGTGACAAAATTATTCAACAGACCCACATTGAAATTGCAGTCTATTTTATTGGCCAGTTTGACTTTTTTGCTTTTGATCACTGTCAGTACCATCTTGCCTGGTATACATTAAAGAAGGCACTTGTAGGTCAGCCAAACTGTTATATCATAAGCATTATAATGAAATAACCACAGGGAATAGTCTTTTCTGTGCTTGCATTATCCTTATTCAAGTCCAGAGTGACATCTAAGACATTTAGTTTTAGTACAGAAAGTGGGTTTTACATGATGTTATGACTCAGTGGCTTTTAAACGTGAAGCATAGGGGGAGGCTTGGACAAAGTGTTTTGCAGCGATTAACGGGTATCAATTCGCCCTTCTTCATGGGCAAAGGCCAATTTTCCAGCTTTCAGTGCTGTCACACTTTAAATGACTTGCGCTGTCAACTGCAACACTTTATCCACCAGATTTCTTTTGGTGATATTAATCACCACTGCGATTTTTTGCTAAACAAGCTAAAAAAGACAGACAATTTTGCAACCATGCTCTAGTGGACTTGGAGGTATGCTTGGGGTTCATTGTCCTGTTGATTTTAAAAGGTCCAACGTCTTCCAAGCCTCAGGTGTGTGACGGACTGCATCACGTTTCCATCCAATATCTCCTGGTACTGAGAGAAATTCATGGTACCTTGCACACGCTGAAGCTTCCCTGTACCTGCAGAAGCAAAACAGCCCCAAAGCATGATTGACCCTCCACCATGCTTCACAGTAGGCAAGGTGTTCTTTTCATCATAGGCCTTGTTCTTCCTCCTCCAAACATAGCGTTGATCCATGGGCCCAAACAGTTCTAATTTTGTTTCATCAGTCCACAGAACACTATCCCACAACTTTTGTGGTTTGTCCACATGGCTTTTGGCATACTGCAGTCGACTCTTCTTATTCTTTGGAGACAGCAAGGGGGTACGCCTGGGAGTTCTGGCACGGAGGCCTTCATTACGCAGTGTGCGTCTTATTGTCTGGGCTGAAACTTCTGTACCCACATCTGACAAATCTTTTCTCAGTTCCTCAGCAGTCACACGGGGACTTCTCTCCACTCTACGCTTCAGGTAGCGCACAGCAGTCGAAGTCAGCATCTTCTTTCTGCCACGACCAGGTAGCGTTTCAACAGTGCCCTTTGCCTTGAATTTGCGAATGATGCTTCCTAAGGTGTCTCTTGGTATGTTTAACATCTTTGCAATCTTCTTATAGCCATTGCCCTTCCTGTGAAGAGAAATCACCTCTTCTCTTGTCTTCCTGGACCATTCTCTTGCCTTCACCATGTTTGTAACCACACCAGTAAATGTCTAGAAGGAGCTGAGTATCACAGTCATTTTAAAGCTGCCTAATTGGTGCTTATTATGCTTGATTGCTGCTCGGTGACATCCACAGGTGTTTTCAATACCTGATGGAAAGCACCTGTATGAACCTCTGTTCTTCAGAGTGGTAGTCTTTAAGGGGTTGAATAATTGTGGCAATGAAGAAACCACATAAGAACCATTTACTACTGTATTACATAAACAATTGATGTCATTTTAGTTGCATTTGGGTAGTTACAACGTCCTTGTAGGATTTGATTCTGAATACAATTCCAAATGTACACTATAGTCCCTAAACCCCTTTACAGCATTGGGGGGTTGAATAATTTTGGTCACAACTGTATGTAGGTTTGACACTTAAAGCTGAACTCTAGTCAGAAATAACAGACACACATTATTGCAGCTCTATAATTATTAACACAACATAAAATGCATTTTGTTAAATGCAAGCACTGTAAGTACCTGAATTTGACCTGGTATCATTCTCTTGCTGTCCCTGGTGTATGAGAGCAAGAAGTCGCAGAAGAAGCCAAACTGTTCATGTTCTAGCAAGGAGCATGCTGATAGAAGGAGAAAAACAGACTGACAGGGAGATGAGCTCATTACTGTGTTGCTTCTCCTTGTTCAGTCCAGAGGAGAGTCTAAGACAGTTTGGACAGTTTGGAGAAAGTGGGTTAAATGATGTTGAGGTGACTCAGTGGCATAAAGGGAAGAACTGAGGGGGAGGACTTTGGATTTAAAGTGAATTTTGTAATTAACCACTTCAATACTAGCCACTTCACCTGCCCAGGCCAATTTTCAGCTTTCAGTGCTGTCACACTTTAAATGACAATTGTGCTGTCAGGCAACACTGTATCCAACCAAGATTTCTTTTGGTGATATATAATCACCACTGGGTTTTAATTTTTTGCTAAACAAGCTAAAAAAGACAGACAATTTTGAAAAAAAACAGAACTTTTTTTTGTTTCTGTTACACAATTTTTCAGAAAAAAAAATATTTTTCTTCTTCACTGATGTGCATTGATGAGGGTTCCCTGATGGGTTCTGATAGTTTGCACTGATGGACACAGATAGGCGGTACTGGTAAGCTGCACAGATGGTCATTGATGAAGAGGCACTGATGAGACTGCACTGATAAGGCTGCACTGATGGGCACTGATATGCTGCACTGATGTGCTGCACTGATGACGCTGCACTGATGGGCACTGATGAGGTGACACTGATGGGCACAAATGAAGAGGCACTTATGAAGCTGCACTGATAATGATGCACTGATGGGCACTGATGTGCTTCACTGATGGGGCTGCACTGATGGAAACTGATATGCTGCATTTATGGGGCTACACTAATAATCAGGGCACTGATGATCTGGGCCCTGATTATCAATGTAAATATCCCTGTCACAGGAAAGCTGGTCATCGGAATTCCCTTCTAGAACACTGTAACAGATGCAGATAATCAGCACATTTGTTTACATGTAATTAGTTGTGATTGGACACAGCTGATCACATGGTAAAGAACCAATATCATTGGCTCTTTACCCTGATTGGCAATGTTCTGTGTGCAAGGGGACACAGCTCACCACTGATTGCCGCACTAGGGGCATGCATGCGTGGCAAGAATGGGAGGATGTCATATGATGTCCTTTCAGAACAAGAGAAGTCCTGCAGTCATTCCACAATAGACCAGGAGGGAAACATGTAAAGTGTTACTAAACCCAGGACCCTGCATTCACTCTATCTGGTCTCCCACAGTACACAGAACATGGAATTATTTTAGTAAATATAAACTGCTAAATGCATTTTCTCATCAGCAGTATATAGCAGTCTTGTGACTTCTATCAGTGTCCAGCAGAGCACTGGTTAAAGCTTGTAGGAGGAGTTTTCATTTTGTTGTAGGAGGATTCAGAACCCCTGACCTCTGTCTGGACAGTGCTGATCACATGCACTCAGACAAAAAAAAAAAACCTCTCTAGCAATACACACCAAATTGAGCATGTGCAGAGTGACTCAACACAATATGTCTTATCAGGAGATAAGCGGGGAAAACTGGAAGAAGGGGAGGATCAGAGAAGTCAGGATCAAGCAGCCTTTTTACACAATGCAGAGAATTAACCCCTTAGGTTCCACAGTGAGTATAACAAGTATGCTTTTATTCCATATACAGACTGATTTTACTGTTGTGAGTTTAGTAACACTTTAATCCATTTTTTATTTGATATTGTAATGGGTATTTTTATCTTGTTATATTTAGCTGGAGTTCTGCTTTAAATACTGCAATTTGTATGTATAAATATATTTAACAGGTAAAGAATGTATAGGAAATCCTGAAAAGGGGTTGAGTATGGTTACATACTCTCAATGCAACATTAAGCATTAAGGTCACTGTGATTTATGTCCGTAACCTTGCTTTGTATTCACACTGAGTAGATTTTATGTACCTGTCTTGGTGCGCTGAGTGCAACTGAATGTAAATGTGCATTCCATGCTGACACATCTTTTAGGATGACGATCACAATTTTTATAGTATACAGCCATCTAACCTTTTTTTAAAACGATTACTTCCAGTGCATAAAATGATACATTGTACATTGATTGAATTTGACACTGGTTTTGTTAACAGTTGCTGCTTTTAATAGTAGTTTTTAAAATAATCTTTTCCTCTAGTAAACGATGCTGCATAGGCTTAACTTAATAAACTACTGTAATTATCTAATGGATATGGACACAGTGCTTGAATGCACAGATGTTCTGCATTATTGTTAAACTCTGATATACCCCAAGAGTATAATTTGGAATTTTGTTTATATAACATTAATGAAAGAGGGGCTGACAGCACTTGCGAATGAAAATTCTGAAAACAAATTACATATTACTTATCCTTACTGATACAGATATAGTATTGAATATGACAGCCTATCTATCTATCTATCTATCTATCTATCTATTCTATCTATCTATCTATCCTGACTAGCAGTGTAATGATGTTGATTCATTGTCAAATTAGCAGAAGAAGGTAATTCAGGAAGATATATATTAGCTAGGTTTTTGTTTTATTTTCTGTATATTGCAGGAACACACTATAGAGCTGGGCTTTTAGGAGGAAAGGGCTGCCTGCACGTTAATCTGTTCTCTGTACTGTTATACAGTTGTGCTCAAAAGTTTACATACCCTGGCAGAAATAGTGAAATTTTGGCATTGATATTGAAAATATGACTGATCATACCAAAAAATGCTCTTTTATTGAAGGACGATGATCATATGAAGCCATTTATTATCAAATAGTTGTTTGGCTCCTTTTTAAATCATAATGATAACAGAAATCACCCAAATAGCCATGATCAAAATTTTATATACCCTGGAATGTTTGGCCTTGGTACAGACACACAAGGTGACACACATGGGTTAAAATGCCATTTAGAGGTTTATGTCCCACATCTGTGGCTTTTTAAATTGCAATTAGTGTCAGTGTATAATAGAAATATGAGTTTGTTAGCTCTTTTGTGGAAGCACTGACTAGGCTAGATTCTGAGCAATGGGGAGCAGAAAGGAACTGTCAAAGTCCTGCGAAATAAGGTAATGGAACTTTATGAAGATGGAAAAGGACATAAAAAAGCACAACTGTATATGTATCATAGTTGGGAAACTCAGCTTGGAGTTACAGACCACATTTATCAGAGGTGCCTTGATGCAGCAGTGTGGCTTCTACACATATATATGCAACTGCAACCTCTGTATTTAATCTGAGTACTGTAGTTGCTTTATATAGTTAGATGTTGGGGACCCCTTTTGCATTGTTTTTAAAAGCATGTACGCCATTAGACCTCTAAGGGTATGCTATGGTATCTGGCACCAAACCATCAGTAGAAGATCTGTTTGAGTGGAAGTAAACTTACTGGGTTGATTTTACCTACAGGTAAGCCTACAGCATAATACAGCACATCCATGCTGTTCCTTCAGAGCTCTGTGCCATGGCCATGTTGTCATTACGACTCGGCCATTCATATGACCGAAGCCTGCGAACCTGGAAGGTAGACCGAGTGAAAGTGGAAGTGCTGTGACCTGTGACAGTGTAGTGGAGGGCTTTGTTTTCAGATAAGACTTTCATAATATGCTCATGTGCAGTGCAAACTAGCACATTAGAACTTAAACCACCCAGTGGCCCATTTTTTTTTCTTTTTTGGTGCGGCTTACTACTGTTTTAAGTCCTATAAGTTCTAAGGTGGGGTCTCCATGGATTGGACTTGTTTTTTCCAGTACATCCCACAGGTACTCTATTGGATTGAGATCTGTAAATTCAGAGGTCAAGTCAACACTTTGAACCCTTGTTATGTTCTTCAAACCACTTTTGAACTTTTTTTGCAGTATGGGAGGGTGCATTTTCCTGCAGAAAGAGACCACTGCCATCAGGGAATTCTACTTCCATGAAAGGGTGTACTTGGTCAGCAACAATATTTAGGTAGGTGGTAAGTGTCAAGTAGCATTAATCTGAATGCATGATGCAGTGCTTTACCTGCAGAACATTGCCGTAAGAATCACTCTGACTGTATATACCGTATGCATCTGTTACCAAACTTTTACAAGCTTGCATGGTAATGTTAGATATGATACCATCTGGCTAAATGTTCCTTTTTGCTAATGAGGAGGCCATTCATGTACAGAAGTAATACCCCACAGGCCTTGCTCAGTATCTAAGGTCCATCACAATGCTGTCATTAAGTGTGGGGAGCGCAATTATATCATGACCAAAACATACACTTTGGTGAACAATCTATATTATACAACATCTATTCTGTCTGCTCATTCATGCAAATCTTTTTCTGTTAGCACAGCAAGTATTATAGATTTATTGTCAGTTTAGTAGGAAAGGGGGGTAGGGGATCCCTTGGGGATCAGGGGACCATATTGGTTGCTTTAACTTTGCCACACCACCAATATTTGATGATCCATGATCACATCTAGATGACGTACCTGCAGTTTTTAAGCTCTGTTGAATTTTGGGGACATGTGTAATAGTATAAACTACAAATTAATTCAAGTCACTTCATCATTATTTGTCTTTTTGTCAGAATTGTCAGCGTTCAATTTACTGTGTTATTGCACAAAAGAAAATTATCTTTTGTTGCTACCAGGATCACCAAACTAACTTCTAACTGTTTAATAGTAAGTTATAGAAAAAACATTACCCAGTGAGCTTCTGAATCCTCATATTTTTAAGAGGTTTATAGGAAGATTGTCCTTGTTGAGGCAGTGAAACACTGCTGACAGGAGTGTCATCAATTAATTAATCAATTTGTGCACTGCACTGGTCTTTTCTTCATGCACCCCAAAGAAGCCCAAACTCTGCAGTTAAGGAAAATGTCATATCACAAAAACTCTTTAGCAAAAAAATAAGTTGGAGATTATGGTAAGTTTAGTAGAAAAAGCTTCACTTCCATTAGTCTGATTAAGGAATTTACCTAATTTTGGAGATTAAACAACAAAAGAGTCCTTTAGTCTTGTGTCAGAACTCCCCTTGACATTGCTCTGTTGCTAGATTAAACAGACAGCAAAAGACAGATTAGACAACAAAAAATCATGTGCGGAGTTTGTAACCATGGTCTACATTTATAATTTTTGTCTGCTTAGAAAGGATCTGTGTTGCCTAAAGCAGCCAGTAATTTTTTTTTTCATTTTTCTACAACTGCTTCTAGAAATGTACCAAAGGTTAAGTTGGGCAGCACAGTGGCTACTCCTAGAAATGGTTAGCACAGCCACCTGACAGTACAAGGGTTGTTGGTTCAAATCCCAACCACAGCACCACGTAATTTTTTTTTGCCTAGAGTTTGCATAGGTTTTCTCCTGTGCCTGTGTGGGTTTTTCTCTCCAGGTACTCTGGTTTCCTACCACACTCCAAAGACATGCTGTCTGTGGTTAATTGGCTCCTGTCTGTCTAAATTGGCCCTAGTATATGTATGTATGAATGTGTGTTAGGGACCTTGGATTGTACACCCCTTGAGGGTTAGGGACTGATGTGAATGTACAATATACTGATATGTAAAGTGCTGCATACATTGACAGTGCTATATAAGTAACCTGTAATTGTTAATAAAATTTAAAATTATGTTTTTTTTCCTATTCATTTTAAATATATTGTCCATGTCAGGAAACTTCAGATGCTTCTGTTAATAACAAGATGGACAATCTCTTATTACTAAAGTGCTTACAGAGGACATGGAAAGCCAAAACCTTCAGTTAGGGATGGATATGACTCAGGAATTAGGAAATAAAATAAAGAACCTAAAAAAATAGACGTGGACAAAAGGGAGATAATTTACTAAAACATTTGGATCAGAATATGGTGCAGCTGTACATGGTAGCAATCAGCTTGTTCCATGTAACTCATTGGCAATAAATATGTGGTAGCTGACATTTTGTACTCTCCAGTTTTATTAATAAGACCCACAAAATGTAGAGATGGGCACTTAATCCTTGCATTTTTTTTTTTGTGGGGGATACAGTTGACAACAAATAGTTAAGGATCCCTATTCAGTTTGATTTTTTGCTGCATGTGTCCCTTTAGATGAGAAGGAGGCAAAATATCTATAAAAAGTGAAGGGAATTACCCTCTTAGGTCCACCTGTCTGAAAGGGGCCTTTCAGTGGATCAGCTTGCTCATGCGACACATCAACACAGTGCCACCACTTTTCTATGGTATAGCTAATCGGATGGTCGTACTGACGGTCTGTTTCCACCCAATGTCATCCGATCCACCCGCCCCATGGATAGGATCAGATCGGATAAGCACGGGTGTCTTCCAGCAGACACATGTTCCTCCTGAAAACTGACAGCTTACCTGCATCAGGGGAGCTATCAGAGTGTGAACTAGGGATCCTTACACAGTTGTCACCATGAAACGCTATGGCAGTGACCCAGGAGGACCCCATTGCAACACATTTACCATTAAAAAACATTCTAATGGTTTTGGAAAATTTGGGTTTATTCCATAAAGCCTTACTGTTGGTTGAAAGTCTTGTCACTATGAGACAGGAGATAGAGCGTTTTTATCCTAAGCAGCTACATACCATAACACTGGGAGCAGGATAAATTTAAGAGTTGGCCTGGACAGAAAACAAAATAAGTA